GGGGGGGGGGGGGGGGGGTTGGGGGGGGGGGGTGGGAGGTTGAAAAAGCTTGTATTTGTAGGTTCTAATTTGCTTTGCTAATATATAAATGTACATAAACTCTTATCTTTTTGGCTTATAAAACCGAAGAATAAGTGGTCCTTTATTCATGATAAAACCTCTCATGAGAAACAAGAAAAAGCTATAAAACATAGAATATCTAATTAGCAGAACTTTTTTTATTTTTACTTCCATGTATTTTGATTTATTGGCCGTTCATGTTATCTCGGTAAAGATGCATCTCATTGTGAGAGAGCCTTTCAAGCAGCATATGCGTTGTGTTTAGACGGCGTGATTGGCACATCAATCACTTCTTTCAAGACTCTTTTGTTAGGCTTCATGACTTCTATTACGTTCTCAGCGCCAGTCCTGTAACCCTCGGATTGCAGTTCGTTGATAGACGTCACATACTCCCTAGCGATTCTCTTTCAAAAAAAAACTTGTTTATAATTTAGGAAGTCATCCAACATGGCTAAATCAAAACACTCGATACATCATTTTCTTTCCTTTATGTCTACTTTCGATGCAGATCACATGGACACTGATATGGATGAAAAATTAAAATCACAATGAGAAATAAAAATAGAGCTGATAAAAATATTGTAGATAAGATAATGAGGATAGATATGTTCATGTGTACACAGTTAAAACAGATCTTGATGTTAATCATTGTCAGTTAACAGTGTTTACTCAGAAGTGTTCTTATATGTTTGTTTTTTTTTAACTGATAAAAGTTGGAAGTATTCTGGCAAGTCCTGGCATTCATTTCCGTAAACAAACCAAACGTTGGTCTCTATCTTCGTGTAGTCAGTGTCTTTGGATTCTTGTCACCGTGGAGCCTCTTTCTGTCGCCTCATACTTCACCAAAATACCAAGTTCTCTTTATGGACAAATGGAAAACAAGTTTATGCTAGGAAAGAAAAACAACCAAACTCAACATTTCTTTTCACCCTTTTTGCTTGTTTATAAATTTTGTTAGCTTTAAGAAGTAAAACAACGATAATATTAGTGAGAGACAATATGCAAAAACTTTGCTATAATTAAGCTCATGAAAATCACAAAACTCAAACTATATTTCAAAAATTGTTTGGTTATAATAATAAATAATAAAAATAATTTATTATTATTACCAAAACAATTTTTGAAATATAGTTGAGTTTGGTGATTTCATGAGCTTAATTATAGCAAAGTTTTTGCATATTGTCTCTCACTAATATTATCGTTGTTTTTACTTCTTAAAGCTAACAAAATTTATAAACAAGCAAAAAGGGTGAAAAGAAATGTTGAGTTTGGTTGTTTTTCTTTCCTACATAACTTGTTCCATTTTCCATAAAGAGAACTTGGTATTTTGGTGAAGTATGAGGCGAAGAAAGAGCCCACGGTGACAGAATCAAAAGACACTGACAGTACACGAGAGATGAGACAACGTTTGTTTGTTTACGGAAAATGAATGGCCAGGACTTGCCAGAATACTTCCAACTTTTATCAGTTAAAAAAAAACAAACATATAAGAAAACTTCTGAGTTAAACACTGTTACTGACAATGATTAACATCAAGAGTCTGTTTTACTGTGTACCATGGAACATTATTCCATATATCTATCTCTCATTATCTTATCTTACAAATATTTTTTAACTCTATTTTATTTCTCATTTATTTTATTTTCATCCATATCAGTGTCATTATCTGCATCAAAGATGACATAAAGGAAAGAAAATGATGTATCAGAGTGTTTTGATTTAGCCATGTTGGATGACTTCCTAATATTATGAAACAAGTTGTTTTTTGAAAGATTGAGAATAGAATATGAGTAAGCTGCGCTTGAGAGTGTTGAATAGAGTACAAAGCTACAAATCTTGAAGAAGTTGATTGATGGAATAGCCTCCTGAACACCGTAGTGCTTGAAAGGCTACTCTCACAATGAGATATGCTTTTTAACCTGAGATATTTACATGAAGCTAAATCATATCAGAAAAAAAAAAGTTCGTAATTTAATATTCTATGTTTATAGCTTTTTCTTGTTTCTCATGAGAGGTTTTAATCATGGATATAAAGGACCATTATCTTCGTTTTATAAGCCAAAAAGATAAGAGTTTATTAATTTTATATTTAGCAAAGCAAAATTAGAACCTACAAATACAAGCTTTTCAACCTCATGTTTTGAAGCAGACACCTAGAGTTTCATATATTAAATAATGATATCCATATCTGCATACATCTGTATGTTGGAAGCATAGACGGGTGGGTCTATATGATTGGATTTATTTATTTATTTCTATAAATGGTCATTCATTTTCTGTAAAACTTCTGAAAAAGAAAATTTATATATTTGAGAAAAAAATAATTGACTTTCTTGTTTTGGAGCATGCGTATAGATTTTTCAGATTTTTCTCTGGGTTTGAAAATGTTTGGCCCACGTTAGGTAGGAGAGAAAAAAAAGGTTAGTTTTGACTGTTTCAGATCGATTTTAGTTTTCATATAAGAAAAGTTTTTCAATTATAGGGCTACTTGGTTAAAGTGTGGGTTTTGAGAAGCTTGTTGAGACAAGGTTTGAATATGTTTTAGTTGAAGAAAATCCATCCTTTTCAGGACTTTAGATAATTATGAAGAGAAGTTCTCTCTCCTTTTTAGGATTTATTATTATTGCACAACTTAACTTTATCCCAAAAAGTGAGGTTAAAGCTATGGATAATAATTACAAACCATTATTACATGATTGAAACTGTTATTTTATTTCCTCCATACATACATGTTTCATATGTTGTTGCCTCAAAGTTTCGGGTTTTAGGATGTTGCAGAAGGGGTGGAGGAGACAGTGACAGAGTCGGAAATACCAAGAAATAAAAAGGGCAAAAAGAAGATGGCAAGAAGCTGTGGAAAGAAGAGGTAGAAGGGACCACAAATGTTGGAGCTTGATCCAGCGTCACACATTTTTCTCACCCTCTCCAGTTTTCAAACCTAAAAAAGTAAGAACAAAATTAAATATTTTAAGAATAAAAAACAAAAAACACGTAACTTTATGTTAATTCAGACGTTAAAAGTAACGGCTGATAATCGCTTTTGCAATCATTGTAGCACTGCTTAACTTCACCCTTCTCACTTCACATTCATTCATACCAACAACAACAGCAACACTTCCCCAACCGGAATCTTCACACTTCCCACCAAATCTCATCAAAACTTCTTTTCGATCGCACTTAAGGTATTATAAACTACCCACCATGCTACTTCCTTCTCCACTATACTATATCTCAAACTTCTCCTTCTTTTTCAGTATTATTTTTGTAAGCAATTTTTTTCTCTCCCCGTGAATTCAATGTGGTGTTGTGTTTCTTCTTCTTTGTGAATTTCAGCGTATGCACCACTCTCAAGGTGGTTCTTTCTTCTTGTGAGTTTTTTTTTTAACGAAGCGTGGGTGAGTTGTTGGTTGTTGAACTTGGAAACCTCCGCTAGATCCTTTGGAGTTGGAGGGTGGATCAAAAGTTAGGGTTTCACTTTTTGTCGTGTTTTCACGTATATCCGTGAGCTTTAACTTGTGCCTGTTTTTTGTACTTCCGTAGATTTTACGGCTTCCGTGAGTTGTTTGAGTGAGTGCTTCATCTTCTGTCTTACCGACATATAGATACAAAGAATGTTATACCTTCGATTTGGTGGTTGAAATAGTGCCATACGAGAGCTGTTAAGGAGGGCAAGTTATCCTATGTAATATCTGTTCGTGCTTCCTTTGTGTTTTTCTCATTGCTAAATAAAGGTACCAATAGAAGCGAGTGAGAAAGAGAATGAAGGCAAGTTGCTTTATTGATTTCACCATATAGAATAATAAATTAACTCGAAACACAAGATGGTATATGTTTATCGGGGTTTTTTATAAACACTTTCATTTTCATGTCAAATTCTTGTTTTTGTCGTCTGAACCTAATATGCTGCAGTTCGAATTTTGTATCTATTTTTTCGACTGTAGTGTAATTCACATTAACAATTTTGTTATTGTTTCTTCGAAATTATGCAGATAAATACTGTTGTTTATTACTATTATTACGATTGAAGTTATGATGCTTATGTTTGTTGTTCGTCTGTTTCTTTTGTGTTTTTTTAATGGTTGGTTTTTTCTCTTTCTATAATGCTTGAAGAAATTAATGGTATATTTACTTGTGAAAAGGGTTTCTTTGGTGGATCCCTAAGGCTTTGTTTGGAGTTAGAGTGGTGGGGTTAGGAGGTTGGAATGAGCAGCTTAAGGCCTGAACTGCATGTTGCCCAACAACTTCGGCGGGACAAATTGAGGATCCAAAACAGTTCCCAACATTTGCAAGAGTTCCCAAGCAACCTAGAACAGTTATCGTTACACCCAGGTTTCAACTTGGATCTTCTTCAAGTGAGAAATGTTCGAAATGGAAACATGCTTGACGAGGCCCTTTATTCATCGGATATGATATCTTTTTCCACTGCTTCGAATCCTTTGTCCACTCCAAGAAACCCGTTGGAGTGTCAAGAACTGATGATGGCTCAGTATGGTTCCACTTCGTTTCCTCATTCATCGTCCCCGAAGGACCAACAATGTGAACCACGCCACTTGGGAGCTAATTGGATGGTGAATTATAACGAAAGCAACCCCAACACCAACAGTACCACCTTCTTCTCTTCTGAGCTTAATAACAACGCTTCTGGTGAAATAGCCAATAGAGAAATTCAGAAGCAGTTCGGTGAAATGCATTACCCTCCTTCTTCGTCTTCTTCGCCTCCTCTTTACCATCATGCTTTGCAGGACATGTCTTACGGCGTTTGGGGAGGAAACCATGCTGAGCCTGTGCTTCATTATCATGCAAACAACGAGTTACGTTTTGGGGGTGCTAATTTATGGACAAATAGTAGCAGCGCGATGGGTTTCAAGAAGAATAATGAACAAGACATATATCCTCATCAGGGTTTATCACTGTCACTTTCCTCGAACTCACAATCTAAGCCTTGTTTTGAAGAAGGGTCTGCATCGGATGACCCTACTCAATATTCAAAGTCATTGAAGTCCTCCATGAAGTTGAACGTTCTTTCAAACAATACTGTTTATCGAAATGTTGGCCCCCTCGGTCCCTTCACCGGGTACGCCACGATTTTGAAGAGTTCAAGATTCTTGAAGCCGTGTCAACAGCTGTTAGATGAGTGGTGCTGTCAATACGGTTCAAAGTCTGCGAAAGGAGGGGGTTGTGACGTTCCAGAGTGGGTCTCTCGAGATGTCAGTGCTGCCTCTATTTCTGCAGCTGCAACTGCTGGTGATGCTCTTAATGTTGATGAAAGTGGGGGTGCTGCAAAAGGTGTTAGCTATCTGGGTGCTTCATCCTCTGTGTTGTATAGTTCAAATGAAAATGATAATACAAATAGCGCTGATGGCGGAGCCACGAGTAACTTTTGTCTTTCTTCTCGGCCAGAGTGCCAAAAGAACAAGGCAAAACTACTGTACATGCAAGAGGAGGTTCGTTTTTTCTCTGCTCAATGTAGAATAATAGTAACCCTTCTGGCCTGTTTGTGTTCCTTACTTTTTTGTCTTGTGTGTTTTTGGTATGTATGTATGGCTAATGTCTGTCAGAGGTTTTTACTGTTTTGTAACATGAAAAAAAGGCCAAATGCTTTAAAACTTCCGTGTGCAACATTAGGTCATTTGGTGTCGATTATTGTGGATGCAAAGCTCATGAAAAGTTTGCTTGTGGAAATATTTACAACAACGATATACGTTCTCAGAATGTGGGTTAAAGCGAAAATGTATATTTGTGTTGGTGTGTCGATTTGGTTAGTCATTTAACTTGAATGTGTTTCTAATTTTATATGGATGTCTTAGCGTTTTCTTATTGGTTTGTAAGGTTTTGTTTATGCTAAATAATGTTACAACATGGTTTTGTGGGTAATAATACTGTTGCACTTTGCCATTTGTGTTTTTGGTAATGTTATGTTTCTTTCATAAAGACTCATTATTACAGGTCTATTTTTTCTTTTGTTTTTATGTTGTGTAGCTATTGTAGCTCTAATTCTTTTTCTTGTTTTTCATTTTGGTGGGAGTATTTGTTCATTCAGTATATGCTACTAATTATAGGATCACATTCTTCTTTAATGATATATTGGTCCTTTGTTTAATTTCTTACTTTTACTAATTATTATTGTGTCAATATATTTCTGTCTAATTTGTATTGTTTAATTAATATTCTTTGCCATATTTGATATCTTTTTCAGTACGATTTTTTATCTTGTCGTTATTCTTTGTTAATATGGATTCTGAAAATGTGAAGTCACAACATATAAATCTTGGTGAAGTCCAATTAATAATGAACTAAATTGATAAATGGGTTCTGTACGTATAATTGTCTTTAATGGATTAACTAGTTAATTATTTAAATAATGTGAAGAAATATAAACAAACATGACAGGAGTGTCTTGCATTGAATTGTTTAGAATTTTTCATTTGTAAACTTTTTGGAGATTATTAGACAACATTCAAACCTCTGTTTATTTGTTTGCTAATCCTTCCTCTCTCTACAAAATAAATGCGTTCCATATAATAAATCATTGTTGCGTGGTAAGTGAACAGTTTCAAATATGTTGTTCTCTACAAAATAATTGCGTTTCATGCATACTAAATAATGATTGTTGCTTACCTAAGAGCTTTGAAATATATTCTTCACTCACGTGCATATGTTCACCTGCACACAGCAGTGTACTCACTTAGATGTTGATGTATCCTACAGACAAGCTTTTTTTAGTTACTTTTGAAATAAATATTCAGAGAACACAAATCTTTATGCACTAAAACAGGTTCAATCACACTGGTTTTTCCTGTACTACATTTGATAGGGTCGTGATTTAGCTATTTTAATGAGGGAATATAGGTTACAATAAATTGCTTCATATACTGTTGGAATTACTGTAGTTTTGGAATACTGTGTGCTAATAGTAGAAATGAAGTTTGTTGCTCAAAATGTCTTGGATTCACTTCTAGTCCAAAATCTATTTTATATATCCATGTAGGACTCTGCCTATGCAAGAACAGTGTTGCTAGATAACCTTTCACCTGTGCACAGTCCGCTTTCCGAAAGTTCTTTGTTTCTTCCACAATTCCTAAACAAAGTGTTTGAGGTGTTATCCTACCCGGTTGCTATTGTTCAAATCGGAGGGTTATTAGTGGTTAGTTTTTTGTCATGTACTTCAACACACTTTTGATAATTTTACCTAAATAATTGTGGTTGTTAGAACAACATTCAAATATCTAATTATTATTGTACACCTTTGTGTTACTGTGCTCGCCGCAACTCAATAATGATGTGTTTCGTGTTATGGTTTAGAATAGTATAATTTTAGGCTTATTCTTAAANAATTTTGTTATTGTTTCGTCGAAATTATGCAGATAAATACTGTTGTTTATTACTATTATTACGATTGAAGTTATGATGCTTATGTTTGTTGTTCGTCTGTTTCTTTTGTGTTTTTTTAATGGTTGGTTTTTTCTCTTTCTATAATGCTTGAAGAAATTAATGGTATATTTACTTGTGAAAAGGGTTTCTTTGGTGGATCCCTAAGGCTTTGTTTGGAGTTAGAGTGGTGGGGTTAGGAGGTTGGAATGAGCAGCTTAAGGCCTGAACTGCATGTTGCCCAACAACTTCGGCGGGACAAATTGAGGATCCAAAACAGTTCCCAACATTTGCAAGAGTTCCCAAGCAACCTAGAACAGTTATCGTTACACCCAGGTTTCAACTTGGATCTTCTTCAAGTGAGAAATGTTCGAAATGGAAACATGCTTGACGAGGCCCTTTATTCATCGGATATGATATCTTTTTCCACTGCCTCGAATCCTTTGTCCACTCCAAGAAACCCGTTGGAGTGTCAAGAACTGATGATGGCTCAGTATGGTTCCACTTCGTTTCCTCATTCATCGTCCCCGAAGGACCAACAATGTGAACCACGCCACTTGGGAGCTAATTGGATGGTGAATTATAACGAAAGCAACCCCAACACCAACAGTACCACCTTCTTCTCTTCTGAGCTTAATAACAACGCTTCTGGTGAAATAGCCAATAGAGAAATTCAGAAGCAGTTCGGTGAAATGCATTACCCTCCTTCTTCGTCTTCTTCGCCTCCTCTTTACCATCATGCTTTGCAGGACATGTCTTACGGCGTTTGGGGAGGAAACCATGCTGAGCCTGTGCTTCATTATCAGGCAAACAACGAGTTACGTTTTGGGGGTGCTAATTTATGGACAAATAGTAGCAGCGCGATGGGTTTCAAGAAGAATAATGAACAAGACATACATCCTCATCAGGGTTTATCACTGTCACTTTCCTCGAACTCACAATCTAAGCCTTGTTTTGAAGAAGGGTCTGCATCGGATGACCCTACTCAATATTCAAAGTCATTGAAGTCCTCCATGAAGTTGAACGTTCTTTCAAACAATACTGTTTATCGAAATGTTGGCCCCCTCGGTCCCTTCACCGGGTACGCCACGATTTTGAAGAGTTCAAGATTCTTGAAGCCGTGTCAACAGCTGTTAGATGAGTGGTGCTGTCAATACGGTTCAAAGTCTGCGAAAGGAGGGGGTTGTGACGTTCCAGAGTGGGTCTCTCGAGATGTCAGTGCTGCCTCTATTTCTGCAGCTGCAACTGCTGGTGATGCTCTTAATGTTGATGAAAGTGGGGGTGCTGCAAAAGGTGTTAGCTATCTGGGTGCTTCATCCTCTGTGTTGTATAGTTCAAATGAAAATGATAATACAAATAGCGCTGATGGCGGAGCCACGAGTAACTTTTGTCTTTCTTCTCGGCCAGAGTGCCAAAAGAACAAGGCAAAACTACTGTACATGCAAGAGGAGGTTCGTTTTTTCTCTGCTCAATGTAGAATAATAGTAACCCTTCTGGCCTGTTTGTGTTCCTTACTTTTTTGTCTTGTGTGTTTTTGGTATGTATGTATGGCTAATGTCTGTCAGAGGTTTTTACTGTTTTGTAACATGAAAAAAAGGCCAAATGCTTTAAAACTTCCGTGTGCAACATTAGGTCATTTGGTGTCGATTATTGTGGATGCAAAGCTCATGAAAAGTTTGCTTGTGGAAATATTTACAACAACGATATACGTTCTCAGAATGTGGGTTAAAGCGAAAATGTATATTTGTGTTGGTGTGTCGATTTGGTTAGTCATTTAACTTGAATGTGTTTCTAATTTTATATGGATGTCTTAGCGTTTTCTTATTGGTTTGTAAGGTTTTGTTTATGCTAAATAATGTTACAACATGGTTTTGTGGGTAATAATACTGTTGCACTTTGCCATTTGTGTTTTTGGTAATGTTATGTTTCTTTCATAAAGACTCATTATTACAGGTCTATTTTTTCTTTTGTTTTTATGTTGTGTAGCTATTGTAGCTCTAATTCTTTTTCTTGTTTTTCATTTTGGTGGGAGTATTTGTTCATTCAGTATATGCTACTAATTATAGGATCACATTCTTCTTTAATGATATATTGGTCCTTTGTTTAATTTCTTACTTTTACTAATTATTATTGTGTCAATATATTTCTGTCTAATTTGTATTGTTTAATTAATATTCTTTGCCATATTTGATATCTTTTTCAGTACGATTTTTTATCTTGTCGTTATTCTTTGTTAATATGGATTCTGAAAATGTGAAGTCACAACATAGAAATCTTGGTGAAGTCCAATTAATAATGAACTAAATTGACAAATGGGTTCTGTACGTATAATTGTCTTTAATGGATTAACTAGTTAATTATTTAAATAATGTGAAGAAATATAAACAAACATGACAGGAGTGTCTTGCATTGAATTGTTTAGAATTTTTCATTTGTAAACTTTTTGGAGATTATTAGACAACATTCAAACCTCTGTTTATTTGTTTGCTAATCCTTCCTCTCTCTACAAAATAAATGCGTTCCATATAATAAATCATTGTTGCGTGGTAAGTGAACAGTTTCAAATATGTTGTTCTCTACAAAATAATTGCGTTTCATGCATACTAAATAATGATTGTTGCTTACCTAAGAGCTTTGAAATATATTCTTCACTCACGTGCATATGTTCACCTGCACACAGCAGTGTACTCACTTAGATGTTGATGTATCCTACAGACAAGCTTTTTTTAGTTACTTTTGAAATAAATATTCAGAGAACACAAATCTTTATGCACTAAAACAGGTTCAATCACACTGGTTTTTTCCTGTACTACATTTGATAGGGTCGTGATTTAGCTATTTTAACGAGGGAATATAGGTTACAATAAATTGCTTTATATACTGTTGGAATTACTGTAGTTTTGGAATACTGTGTGCTAATAGTAGAAATGAAGTTTGTTGCTCAAAATGTCTTGGATTCACTTCTAGTCCAAAATCTATTTTATATATCCATGTAGGACTCTGCCTATGCAAGAACAGTGTTGCTAGATAACCTTTCACCTGTGCACATTCCGCTTTCCGAAAGTTCTTTGTTTCTTCCACAATTCCTAAACAAAGTGTTTGAGGTGTTATCCTACCCGGTTGCTATTGTTCAAATCGGAGGGTTATTAGTGGTTAGTTTTTTGTCATGTACTTCAACACACTTTTGATAATTTTACCTAAATAATTGTGGTTGTTAGAACAACATTCAAATATCTAATTATTATTGTACACCTTTGTGTTACTGTGCTCGCCGCAACTCAATAATGATGTGTTTCGTGTTATGGTTTAGAATAGTATAATTTTAGGCTTATTCTTAAAAAAACATGGGAATGTTTTTAAACTTGTTGGTTTTGTTGCACTGAGTCATGATAGGTTACTAGGAGATACAAGCAATACCATCAACAGATGCAAATGGTTGTTCAATCGTTCGAGTCTGTTGCTGGTCTTAGTTCTGCAACTCCTTATGTCTCCTTGGCTCTCAAGTCAGTATCGAAACACTTCAGATGCTTAAAAGGTGCTATCTCTGATCAACTGAAGCTTACATGTGAAGTCTTGGGAGAGGAATTTTCAATGCCAACTACAAGTAATGGTGGTAAATTTGACAGTAACATGGCAAGGCTAAGGTGCATGGATCAAAGTTTTCAGAAAAACAAATCTTTGGGGGCTAACATAAACTTTCTTGAGCCCCAACAGCACGTGTGGAGACCCCAGAGAGGCTTACCAGAAAGATCAGTGGCAATTCTTAAAGCTTGGCTGTTTGAGCATTTTCTTCATCCGTATGTCTTCTCTCTGTGACCTCTCATGTGTGTGAAACTATGAATCTTTTCTGTTTGCTCAGAAGAAGGAAAGAGTGATTGAATTATGGTTTTCTTTTTGCTGTTCAATTTCATTTCAGGTACCCCACGGACACTGATAAACACATGTTGGCTACCCAAACAGGTCTTTCAAGAAACCAGGTGGGGGTCTACTCCTTTTGAATTCATTATTATGTCTACATCCTTCAGCTATATATGCTTGATTTCATTTGTGTCTTTGACATTCTCTTTTGTTGGCTTCTTAGTGGGTCCAATCAGTGTGTCAAATATCGTCAAATATTTGCTATTTCAAATTCCAAGTCTTAATTTAATTAGTGAGGAAACTTGTTCCTTTTGTTTTTCATTCTCAGGCTTTTAGGCCGACACATACGTTTTTATGCATAATTACAAATGTACATCCCTTTTCATTTTGCTTCCTGGTTTCAAATTTTTTGAAACATTTTATAGTGAACATTTGTGTTTTCACTTATTTCCTTCTCTAAATTTTAAATTAAAAAGTTTACAGAAAACAGATTAAAACAATGTCATTTTTGCAGATTTTAGTAAGGGTATGCATATAAAGGGAATTTGAGTAATAAAGAAGCTATGTGAACCTCACCTTACGGAGAAATTAGTACATTGTCTGAGACCGTTTGTTCGTACAAATTTCTATGTAACCTGTAGTCACATTTTTATCTGAGAATTTTAGTACATCATCATGTAAAGACTAGTCTGGATTCAGATGATCTTCACCATGTAATGATATCCTCACCTTAGGGATAGTTGTGAAAATTGTTCTCTTTTGTTGTCTAATGATTTGGGTTATAGGAGTTTCTCATATTTATAGAGTAAACAATCTAAACCCCACCACCTGTAACATAAAAGACAGACATTTATGCTTATACATTTAATCTTTTATGTGTAAATGTCTGTTTGCATCGTTGGAAACTGGTATTCAAACATGCATTTTATGGTTTTCTACACAATCCATTAAACGGATATAAATTTGTCACAAAGACAATTTGCCTTGTTTATGTAAGGTAACTGAAACGTATTTGCAGCTCGCTGATATATATTTTTAGTTCTAGAAGCTTGGAATAACGATGTAACTGAAACGTAGGTATCAAATTGGTTCATAAATGCTCGAGTGCGTGTGTGGAAGCCAATGGTTGAGGAAATACACATGCTCGAAACAAAGGGTGCAACAGAAGCCCACCAAGCCTCTAATAAAAGTGAGCAGGTAGCTTCTGCATCTGAAGGAAGCAACCAGCCCAAATCAGATCACCAACCTGTGAGCAGGTATGGCACGCATGCATCATCACATGCAATCCCTGACAAGCAGTTTCAGTGTTTGGAAATGGGGTCATCATCCTCAGCAGGCAATGAGGAACACATCGGGATGAATGAAGACCAATGGAATCAAGAGAAGAGGTCAAAACTGGAATGCCAGATTGCTGCCACACCAAACATGGATGGAACAGTGATGGGGTTTATGCCCTACAGAAGAGGTGGACTTGAGGTTGGTGGTCTTGGATCTGTGTCACTCACTTTGGGTCTTAGGCATAGTGTTGAAGGTGTGCAACAGCAACAACTGCAACAACAGGAGGAGCTTAGGCGTCAGTTTGGAGGGCACATGATCCATGACTTTGTGGGCTAGTTAGATACTTGTCACTTGGGAAAGAATAAGAATTGGTCAAGGGAATGGGGACCCTTTTGTAGCTAAGTGGAAAAAAAGGAGTTTTGTATACATTTGCTTGGTGATGAGGAAAAGGAGAGGTGGGTGGGTTACTGTGTAAGCTGTTTTTTACCTTCCAATTTTTGCTTGTGTTGGGGAAATTGTGAACTGAAATTGGTGGCTAACCTTACAACATGGCGGACGTGGTCAGTGTTAAACTTGCAAGATAGTGAAAAGCAGGGCAAATAATTCAAGGTCAAGTATTCCTGCATGCACAGTTCTGTAATATTTAACTTAATGTGATTTGGGCTACTTTAGAAAAAAGACAGAAAAGAACACCAGCAATATTTAAACAATAAATTCTTCTCGTTCTTTTCCCATTCTCTTTTTCTGTTTTTACCTTTTACACACTATACAAGGGGTGTATGTCTGTGATAATAGATGGTCATTTGCAGTGAGGACAGCGTTATTAGATAGGTTATGAAACATTGTTCCGTGATTTGAGTCGTGAAACTAGAAGTTGGCCTTATTGACATTTATGTACGATGATATTCTCGGCTGTATATCGGAGGAATTATTGCAATAGTTCTGCAAGTTCTACTTGATATTGGGGTCTTCACATCACCGTCTAAACTATTACCAACGTTTATTGTGTGATTAACTTCAAAATTCAAAAATTTGCTTCTAATGTAAAGATTAGATTGAATATGAATGCAAACAATTTAAACTAATTGCAGTTATCTACTTTTAGGTGATTCTTGTTTGACTCAACCTGGCCCAAAGAAGCAAAGTGAAGGTTTAAAGAATAATTTTATCAGATTAGAGTAATATATATATATATATATATATATATATATATATATATATATATATATATATATTTAAGGATCATATAATCCTTCATCTATTAAAGGAATGACAGGTGCACAAATATGCACAAATTATAATAATATCTAAATTATAACTAACACAATATTTGATTGCCTAATATCCTTTAATAGAATATTTGGCATATCTTAACACCCCCACTCAAGTTGGTGCATGGATATCACACATTCCCAACTTGAATAGAGACTCATTAAATAATCTTCTTGACACTCCTTTGGTGAGAACATCAGCCAATTGCAATTATGATCTTACAAAAGGAAATGAAATTATTCCAGCTTCAAGCTTCTTTTTGATGAAATGTCTATCTATCTCCACATGCTTTGTTCTATCATGTTGCACATGATTGTGAGCAATTGCTATAGCCGAAGTATTGTCATAGTACAAACTCATAGCTTCATTTTGTTTAAAGCCCAAATCTGATAGCACATTTTTAATCCATAAAAGTTCACATACACCTATTGTCATGCCTCTGAATTCTACTTCAGCACTAGATCTTGCTACTACAGGTTGTTTTTTACTCCTCCAAGTTACAAGATTCCCTCTTACAAAAGTAAAGTATCCAGAGGTAGATCTTTTATCATCTTTTGAACCTGCCCAATCTGCATCGATGTACCCTTCTACCTTTAAGTTTTCATGATTTGAGAACAAAATTCCTTTTCTAGGAGCAGACTTCAAATATCTCAAAATCCTTTCAACAACATCCATATGAAGCTTCCGTGGGTCATGCATAAATTGACTAACAACATTCACTGCATAGGTGATATCTGGACGTGTATGGCACAAATAAATTAATTTTCCTACCAGCCTTTGGTATCTTCCTCTGTCTATGCTTGCTGAATCTGTGCATTGAAAAAGTTTATGATTTTGTTCAATTGGTGTATCAACTGGTTTACTCCCAAGCAGCCCAGTTTCCGATAGTAAATCAATAGTATATTTTCTTTGGCACAGAAAAATATCATGTTTTGATCTAGCTACTTCAATACCCAAAAAATATTTGAGGTTTCCAAGTTGTTTCATCTCAAATTCAGATGAGAGGTATTGTTGTAAACTAGAAATCTCATCTTGGTCATTTCCTGTAACAATCATGTCATCTACATATATAATCAAAGCTGTAATTTTTCCTTTTTCTCTCTTAAAAAATAAGGTGTGATCAAAGTTACTTGCTCTATAGCCAAAAGCCTTCATAGACTTGGTAAACCTTCCAAACCATGCTCTTGGGGATTTTTTTAATCCATATAAGCCTTCTTTAATTTGCAAACCTTCATTCCAATTGAATCAGTCATGCCTGGTGGAATCCATATAAATTTCTTCTGAAATTTCTTCGTGTAGGAAAGCATTTTTCACATCAAATTGTAGAAGAGGCCAATCTTGGTTTGCAACTAGCGACAAAAGTATTTTCACAGTATTGACCTTGGCTACTGGTGCGAACATCTCTTGGTAATCTACACCATAAGAATGAGTGTAACCTTAAGCCACAAGTCGTGCTTTATACCTCTCAATAGTTCCATCAACTTTATGCTTAATTATAAAGATCCATTTGTAGCCCACAGTTTTCTTCCCTCTTGGTAAGGACATAAGATCCCAAGTGTTATTTTTTTCTAAAGCTGTCATCTCCTTAACCATTGCTTCGGTCCATCTAGGATCTGTCAAACCTTCCTGTACATTACTAGGAATAGAAATTGAAGATAATTGAGATACAAATGATGCATATGACTAAGATAACCTATGAGATGACACATATTTACTAATGGGATTTTTAACTTTGTCTTGGAGGTTTGGTTCATATTTAACTAGAGGTTGACTACGGTTAGAACGAGGTGGAAGAATATATTGAACAGTAGTAGACTCAGTGTTTGGTGTGGTGGTGGTCTCACGCAGAGAAGAATCAATTCCATGATCAATTTCATCTAAATTAGTATTATCAGAGATAAGATCAGAAGGTACCTCTAAATAGTCAAGTTGAACCTGTGGAGAAGATTGAGCCAATTGGTTATGATCAGAAGACACTGTATTATCCAGAAAAGAATGGTCCATATTTAGGATTGGCTCACTTCCTGCAGAATGATCCTCACACAATAATTTATCTTCACAATCAAACATACCAACATCATGATTATGCACTTCACTTTCATTGCCTCCCTGAAGTGGAGAATCAACATAAAAAAATTCATGCTCATTAAAT